ATATTACCCATTTTAATGACAATGAACTTTTTACATCAGCCTGTTTATCAATTCCTTCCTTTCTTTTTTCACTATGTACATGCAATTTCTTCCTGTTATTCAGTCTATGAATTTGCAATGGCTACATATTTAGAGCTATATACAAAATGGTTCTTCTACATTTGCATTGTGATATAATACCTTCAAGCAAGTTTAAGACTATGTCAGGAAAGTTCAAGTGTCTACAGTTACAACACACCTTCCATTCTATTTGTGATAACATCTGCTAGACTCATGGCCCTTTCCCTTAAATCAGGATCCTCCAGCAACTCCATTGGTATTTGGTATGAACTTGCACGTCTGTTTTTTATTTCTATTTCTGTGGTAGTGCTCTATAAAAAAATAAAAGAAAAAATAAGGTGTGTAAATTAAATTCAACTTTAGAAATACTGTGGTGTTTTTTAAATTACAATTTTTATTATATAATTCCTAATATAATTAATACTTTTAAAACATTAAGAAAAACATTTGGATACTTAGCTCCCATACCTCTACTGCATTATACTCAAATAACATTACTACACTTTAGACATCAATAAATTATGGAGGGGCTACAGCCAAGAAAACAAAGCAAGATGCAGAACTTGTGTAAAAACGATTCCGAGTTCCACACTTTCTCTACCAATATTTCCATTCTAAACTAGTTCATTCACAAGATACTTCTAACAAGTGTTTAATGCTAGGAAGATTCTGCAGCAACAACTATTCCATGAAATAAAGTTTTAAAGACCAGTTTTGATCTCTATACCCATTCAAAACTTCTTTAAATTACATTTTCTAAATTGAAGCATTATCAACTCTGATTTATTTTAAGAATTTCAGCTGAAGAAACAGCATAGGTCTGACTTAACTGATCCCAAAAATAAATACTTGTTTTACATTATTTTATTTTAAAAAATTAAAGATGTGTTATAACTACAGTATTAATCACATCTCAGTCATTAAAATTTTTGAATGAGTAGACTTTATTTCAGTCCATTAAATAAATGCATGAAAATAAACATATAATAAGCTGCAAGAAGATTATAACTGCGAGGCATCTGGCTGATAACTGCAAGGAGGCTGGCTGATGTACTTTCAGATGCCGTGACCATACAGAAATTTCTGTTTCAGTAAAATAACATTTTTAGGAAAAAATGTGCAGATGTCTCTACTCCATTCCCAAAGGAGACTTAGGGAAAAGGAAAAATCAAGCAGAATTAAAATGTTTTGTTGATTTGGAGTTTTTTGGTTTTTTTTTTTAATTATACCATGATCCTAGGCAGTAAGCAACTCAGTCTTTGAAACCCAGGAGGAAAAAATGCTTTCAGGACTTCTAAAATGTCAACATTATCTTTAAGAATATGCTATATTTGCACAATACCAAATGTATGAACAAATGCATATTACTCACAGAGAATCATAAAATACACTTAAAAGGAGGCTAAAACCATAAAGGAAAAAAAGAATTGAAATAATCTAATAATGTACAGGAAGCTATTTTGCGCTCTAAAACAGATTTAGCAATGGAACATTACTAATCTGATTCATTACGCATATGTATGCATATCTTTTCTTTCCAGGTATGTAAAAACCTACTGCTTTGTGCTCTTTCATGCTTCAGCCTCTCACTTTTGACTGAATCACTTCAAACCCATTTAATTACAGTAAGATCTGCAAAAGCATCCATAACTTCCCATCCATTTTCAAAGCAGTAATTTCACTGAAACATTATCCATGCAATAAAGGCCATGAAACCTGGAGTAATTCATAACTCTTACACTGCCATCAGTCGTTGGTTTATCTATTATCACCTCTGGCAGAAGTTGTCCAGTAGGAGACAACAGACCTGGTGGTCCCTCCACCAGGGAAACCACCCCATTGCAATCCACGGTGCTGTGCATCTTCCCATTCACTGGAAACACTGCCAGCCTTCTGGATGACCGACTGGCCTGGCTGATGTTACTGCTGCGCCGCTCCCCGTGCCCGCGCGGCAGAAACAGAGAACCTCTTCTGCTCAGAGTGTCCTCAAACATGCTGTGCTCATCGTCAGCAAAGTCATATTCTGATCCCCTCTCTCTTCCGTCGTCTCTAGAACTGAAAAGACTTGTTCTGCTACTAGGCCTGGGAGAAAACAGGGAGCCATGAACACTCAGCAAAGACTGCAAAGGAAACATAAAAAATGATGATCTGAAGATTATAAGTATACAAAATGCATGTCTACGTATAAGAAAAAAAAAAATTTATATTCCCCAGGAATTTTTCAGTGTTATCTTTAATACACTGCCTCAGGCTGATCTCAAAATACATTACAGATGAAAGTCAACTGAGTGGGTAAATTTACAATGTGCCTAAAACAATAACTGGAGAGAAAAAAAAAATAACCTGTATAAGGCCATAGTAGTTTAGTAGTTTCAATCTCTGCTTTAAAAAGAAAAAACAAGTTTTCCATAAACTCCAATGATCCACATTGAACATGCATTATGTTAAAATGTATCAATACCTTTAGTCTTCTAAATTCATACATTATACTTAAATTTCCTTTTATGAATTAAGAAGGCATTTCTATTTCAGATTAACTAGGAAAATGCAATGCTGCTGTACATGTTAAGGTGCTAAATTATAAAATGAGAGACTTTTTTTAAGGCACATTTTAGAAAATAATACTAATAGTAAGTTGGTATTTAAGAGAATGCTACATTAGTTTTCCTTTGTTGCCTTATTGCAATGTTGCAGTGAAGTTTGTTGCATATAACAGTAATCACACAAATCAATCACACAGTTGCATTACTCACCTGGTGGGGTGATGTAAATGGCTTCCCATAAGTTAGTTTGTTCCCATCAAAAGAAAAACGGAAACCTTTCCCTTTGATACTGCCATCTGATTCAGATTTTGGAAGCTTTTCATCCTTCATGTCATCCTCTTCTCCAGAGAGCTCTCTCTGCCTTCTTTTCTTTCTTCTATTTCTCCTTTCTTTGGCACTTTTTGAGCTAAGCTTGGATGCGTCTGAAGAACTATCTGAGGGTGCAGCATTCCCACTTTCACAGCTGTACTCAGTCATCTCTACTGCAGCTGCTGCTATTGCCTGCCACAGCAATTATTTAACAAGATGCTTTATAAATTACACTATTTTAAAAGAAGGATATAGCCCCTGTTCCTAAGATTTGTACCAAATTACTTCTAATAAACAGTGTAGTTGGATTTGTGCAAAGCTAGAAATGAAATTCTGTAGTATGAATGGAATTCTAATGGAGGACTTAGCATCCTTGTCATGGGGTCAGCCCACATCGTCTACAGCCACAAAGTTCATTAGAAAACATTTGAAAATTATTAAATTTATTAACTAGAGTGAACGCAACAGCAAACAAAAGAGCTAAACAGACTCACGCTTCAGTCTGTATTAATTTAGTAAACTAATCCTAATTTTTATCCTCAATAGCTTCCTCAAGCTGCTTCCAGTCTTTCATTTGCTAGTAGCAGCACAAGTAGCAAAAATGAATCAGAAATTTACAGATGAAAATATTTTACACTCTAATCAAGGGTTGAAAAGTATTGAAATTATTTCTAAGGTAAGAATTTGGAAAGTCATCATGCCAGTTTACTAGCTACTACCCCAAGAAAATAGAGATTAATTTAAAACTATTATTGTGATTTGGATACTACTCTTTGTTCTCAGTTCAGAAATTCATTAACAATTTAGATATGATATATTTAAAAAGCATTATATATTTTAAAAGCAAAAATAGGCATAGGAAAAGCAGTCTACAGTATTTGGAAGGTATGTTAAAGAATGGAATGGCGTTTTTTTTAATATGTAAATTTAATTACCGGTTTTGTTTTCACAAACAGCATGCAAAGGAAGACACTAAGGCCCAGATTCTTGTTAGAATATACCTGAGCTTCTTCTTGCTGCTTCCGCAGTTGTTCAAGCTTCAGTTTAAAGTCTGCCTCCCTCTGCTCTGCTTCAACAATTGTTGCTTGATTTTGTTCTTCATAGGCCATGGCAACCACAGCCAAAATCAAGTTAATCAAATAGAAGGAACCCAGAAAAATCACCACAACAAAAAATATCATGTATGATTTGCCAACAGCTCGTAGTGTCTATAGGAGGAGAAGAGAAATCAATCAGCTGGTGAAGAAATGCATAAGTCCTGCAGTTCATAAGCATTAATGACTTGGAAAAGTGCAAAACTTAGTAGGTTTTCCTTCTGTAGTAAAATCACACAAGTTTTCTGAATTACAAAATAATCAAAATAAAGGGAGCATTCTTGTATGTGAAAAACATGCCTAAGGATCACGCCGCTTTGCGATAAACCTATTTCAATGCCTAATAATCTTGCTAAGTATGTGGGATCAGAGTTCTTAATGTAAGTCACATATCACAGGTTGGGATCTTAGAATACTTACCATGTATTAGCATGTTTTCCCTTTGAAATAAATAAATGAATTAAAAATAGCACAATTGATAAGATAATTAGAAGACAGGATTTATTATAATTAATACATTTGCACACACCATATAATGAAAAGCTACTGTAAGAAAGTTAATTTGTATCAAGTCATTTATTCTAGGTCATAAAAAACAGGATTAAGGGTACTGAAATTAAGGTTCAGATTTTGTTGTCATGAAGTCTTTTTACTTTAATTTTAATTTAATTTACTTTAATTTAAACTCAATATTGACATTTTAGAAAATATAATGAAGCACAAAACATACACTGTAAAAATTAAATTAAGGACCAAAAAACCCCTCATGTGCCTCTTCAGAAATAATGAGATTCTGTATCAAGTGTCCATGTCTGCTTAGTTTTGCAACTGAATTTGCTTCCTTTGGTAAATTTTAATGGCTAACAATAGCAATGGTATTTTATATAAATAAGAATGGCCTTTCCATGATTGATTTGGGGCCATTAATACATAAACCAGAATTTTTAAAATATACTCACCAGCTGATAAAGATTTTCCCAATAGTCCTGTGTCATCAGTCGAAACAGTGACAAGAAAGCCCAACTGAATGTGTCAAAGCTAGTATATCCATAGTTGGGGTTTTTACCAGCTTTCACACAGATAAACTCTTCTGGGCATTTCCTATAAGAGGGGGGAAAAAATTAAAAGAGGCAAAACAATCCATACACAAATTTCATATAAAACTTTTTTTTAAAATTATTGTTTCTTGAGCTTCTTATATCCACATCATCTGTGAAGGGTGCTTCTATTTATGGCTTAAAACAATGCAAAGATTAGTGGGGAAATTAAAAGTCTGTTCTTTAAAGAATCCAGAGAGAACCAACAAGTGAGGGCAATATTTCCTTCTATAGCCTTTCACAGTTTTAAACAAAATAAAGTTTATTATCAACAGTTTGATATTACCTCTGCAAATATCTCTTCAATGAAAATAATATGTGTACTTTACACAGAGATTTCAATAGGTGAATACTTCCATGCAGGAAAAAGACAGCCAGCACACATATTTTATGCTGAACTTTGTCTGTCTGTGGTTGGCATACCAGATTTAGTGGCTTCTTCACATCTGTGAGCCTAATTAACAAATTCTACCAATTTGTAAAGAGCAAATAGCCAGCATAGGAATACTTCTATCTCATGAAATTTTTCATATTGGTTTTGAGAGTAGGTGATGCAATCTTGATATCAAATGTAAGCACACTGTTTCAATTAGGACAGAAGAGGCTCTTGTCCCCAAAATCTCTACAGAAAAACACTGTGAAGATTTCTTTTCATGTAGGTGTGCCTGTTCAATATGCATTTATACATGTTATATTATTATCTCAGAGTTACATATATGTTTACAAAAATAGTTTGACTATGTGTTATTTAAAGCTATTACCAACCAAAACCAAGGATGGACTGATAATTCATAAGCATATAGAATTATATGATTTGGTTATTATATGATTACTATTTTACAGGTGAGAAATGGCAGGAAACCCATGGCAAACAATGTTCTTAAGTCATTGATAACACAACGTCTACCTGCTAAGTGGAATTTTCTAGTTACATATGAGCTTTTAAAACAAATTTCCAGCAAAGTATTTTGCCATTTAACATTGTTACTCATTCAAGTGCCTACCTACTAGAAACCAAGACCATATTTTTATTAACTGACATTAGGTAACTAAATTATCTTTTTAAAGTTTAGATTGATATTTTTTACATGTTCAGACACATGATACGTAATTTTCAGTGAACCTTACCCTGCATCTGAGCTATTGCCACAAAGCAGAAAATCTTTTGCTCCTTCTGGGCGATAGAAATGACCTAAAGAAAACACAAAGAAGTAACATATTTACAAATGAAAAGAGTTTTTTCGTTGGTTCCTTTGGGAAGAAGAAACCAAGGTCAAAGCAACAAGGTTTGAACGTTCATAATCTCCCAATAATGTTTTCCCAATAATAGGCTCAAAAACTGGCAGAATCATAGAATTGCTTGGGTTGAAAGTGACCACAAAGATCTGTTTCCAAAACACCTGCCATGGGCAGAAATGCCACTTAACAGATTGGGGTCCCATGCAAACTGGCCTTGAACACTTCCAGAAATGGAACACCCACAGCATCTCTGGGCAACAACAACAAAAAAAAGATTACAAAAATAAAATCCTAGAACAATGATTAGAACATAAATTGCATATTCTTTTCTTGAGTCACTGCCCACTGAATACCCTTCCAAGACAGGTAAGAGATGTAAAATACAAAACTTAAATCTCCTCTTATTCAGTAAGTAGACTGTTATCAGACAAAGCCTGCCTTCTTTAAAATGGAACATTTATAATGGCTTTCTGGCAGTTTTACAGTCAGAGTAACAACTAGCAAATCCTGGGAAAATATAAAGGCAGCATCTAAAATAAAGCAGGTGCTCCAATTACAATGTTCTAACAACTGCTGAACTATAAACTTTGCAGAATTTTTCTTCTAATTATAAGGTGGTAGCCTTCAGAAAAAGAGAAATATATGTTATTAATGAATAACAATTGTGCTGTCCTTAAAATAAAAAATAAGAAAACAATATAGTTCCAAAGATGATAATGAATTAGGAAAGTTTATAGAGGGTAGACCCCACTCAGAGGGATCTAAGCAAACCGGAGAAACAGGAGACACATAAAATTCAGCAAAGACAAGTGCAGCTGCGTGTCTGGGAGGGAAGAGCCCCTTGCAGTGATACAGGCTGGGAAGTGACTGGCTGCCAACAGTACTGGAGAAAATGCACTGCGAATTTTGCTGGACAGAGAGCCAGGAGAGGCTGAATCAGCAGGGTGCCCTGACACCCAAGAAGGGCAACAGCCTCCAGGGCTGCAGGAACAGGAGGGGAAGTGACTGCCCCCCTCAGCTCTGCCCTCCTCAGACCATACCCAGAGGCAGGTTCTTCTCAATTGTGCACAGCAGAATGATAGACAATGGGCATAATTACAAACAAGAGAAGTTCTGATTAGATATAAGGAGATACTTTTCACCATGAGGATAGCCAGGCACTGAGATCTGGAAAAAGAGACAGAAATCTGGGAAAACACTCAACTGAATCAACCTGCTGTCATTCTCAGCTGCTTTCAAGCTGACAAAGGTTTTGGCTTTCAGAGGGTAAAAAACCTACTGTACTTAAATAGTCAGAAACAGCTCATAATACATGAATATAGGATGATGAATAATATTTGAACATAGGAGGATTCTAAACTGAACATCTAAATATAGTGATGAATATAGTTTTGAATCTACAATTCAAAACCAATACTTATAATGCAGCTGACACTGCATTATACAAATGATTAAGAATAGATATAAGAGAAAGGAGGAATACAAACACAACGAGACCAAACAGCCTTGCCGGCATCAGCACTCTGTGATGCCCAGCAAAGACAAAACATTTAGCACAGAAAGCTACTGATATTCTGGAAAATTTTATTCCTTTTAGATTGCCACCTAGTGCAAACTGGAAATGGAGAATCTATGTACTGTATAACCTGTATCTGAAGTGAGAATTCACAAATGTTCTGTAGCATCTTCAAACTATCAGCCAAAACTGCCAAAAAGCACTATCACCACTCCATTTTCACTCCATCCCTTCTTAGGCAAATTAGCTAAAATTAGACTTCCCGGAAAACATAAGCACAGTCACAGAATTGAAACAATTCAGAACTATAGAAAGATAACCCAAAAATGCAGAAAATAGCAGAAAACTTTAATGCCCGATGTTAAAAATGGGAGAAAAATCTGGTTTATCAAAACTCAGCCTATAACAACAGTATTTCCCTTTACTTTTTGTGAGAGTCACTGGGGAGAATAGCTAGCATCCATTATCCTATAAATTTCTTTTTATTTAAATACACTACTTTTACAATTAATCACTAAGCAATGCCCTGTAAATCCACATCTAGTACAAACCCACACAGGGAAACTGATTTTTGGTAATTAGAGAAGTTATTATATTACATCTCACAGTTCATTGTGATTATAATGTTATTGATGCTATCACTTAAACGGACAGAAATATAAAACATAAGCATCTGCATGTTTCTGAACCAGCCTGGATGTTACCTCTTCAGTCTACAGATATTAAGCCTGCTGGAAAATATCTGGATAAAAACGTATTTTTCAGTCCCAAGCAACACATCCTAAAGCTGAATACCATCTCTTTTCCTACTAGAATCTCAGCCTTCCTGGGGAGTTGTGTATCAGTGAAAACAACTGGTTTGTTACCTCTACCAAATAAAAAAAGGCATCTCTTAACTAGGCTCTCATACTTATCTAGTGCTTCTTTGTCTTTTTTATACCCTAAAGATATAAAAAGAGCATAAAAGAATTGGTTTTGTGAGACCTTGAGAAGACTAGGGAGGGAGCAGGTGGGGAGGAAGGGATGTGCACAGATCTTCACTCTACCTACAAGCATAACATGAAAGACTGTCATGAAGATGGAGCCTGACTCACCTCAGGAGTGTACTCTGGAAAGACAAGAGGTGACTAATAAAAGTTTGAGCATGGGAAATTCTGAAATTATATTCAAGGAAGTTTAGTTACAACATACATAGAATACAAAGTATTTCTTACTTTCTTCATTAATGTATGCTGCCCAGTCAAATTCTGTACCATTAAAGTATGGAATCAGCTTTTCAAAAGCTGTTGTATTTTCTGTTGGCCAGAACAGGCATTTATTCCTCAGATTGCCCATGAACAGCTGCAGCCCTATCAGTGCAAATACACTCAGACAAAACACAGTCAGGATCATCACATCCGAGAGCTTCTTCACAGACTGAATCAGGGCTCCTACAATAGTCTTCAGGCCTGCAAAGAGAGTAGATTTTTATTATAATATTAAATATTTAACTAAGCTAAAATGCAATCTAAATGTCTCCAACACACTACTAAATACCATGCACAGCTTCAAAACAACAGTCTTAACGCATTTTCCAAAGGAAAAGCTACCAATAAGTTTCATCATTCCTGAAAAATAATTTGAAATTATGAATGGGAATGATTGGCATACATTCCAAAGCACTGCTCTTCAAATCAAGAGCTTTCAATTCATGCTCTCTATACATGTACAGTACATATAAAGAAAATAGTTTATTTTATTTTCTTTTTGATGCCTCTTGCTCCAAACCTTTGCCAGTATTCTATTACAATACAGAACATTTGGTTCTATAACAGCAAACAAAAAGAGACCACAATTTTATTTCAGTAATAATTTTAACGCCTGCATTCTAATGCATCATCTTTTGTTGGAGGTGGGGTTTGGTGAAGATAGGCATCATAAGCTAATAACTACATCATGCAATCCCCATGCCACTCAATATTATCTTATTCCTTTGTCAGAAATTCAACTTCTACAAAACTCTAAAATTTTCCATCCCAAATGCCTTTCATAAATATGTATATGCAACATTCGCATTAAAAAGACTTGATTTTGATCCTTAATGTGGGAGAGAAAATTTGACATCAGTAATTGGAGGACTATACAGGCTATGCAAATGAGTTCTTCATGCAATTGACTATTAAACTCTGAGGCTGACTGTTCTTGAGAATTAGAAAAGGAAATGAAATTGAAATTAGGACAAAAACCTGGATGTTTCTGTTAAAAACATGAGTTCAGCTTCTGTGCAGTTTCAGTCAGCCTCAGTGTTTAACCTCGCTCTCACCTGGAATGACTGATATTGTTTTCAAAACTCGGAGAACTCTGAATGTTCTCAACGCTGAGACATTGCCCAGGTCCACAAACTCTGTCACATATCTGTAGTGAGGGATTCCACACACAAACACAATGACAGCACACACAAAATTAAACAGAGGTGATGTGGAGTGTCTACTATTTTACACAGTTACTTCTTACCTGGAATTACAGAAATAGTTTTCAAAGCTCTCAATACTCTGAAAGTTCGAAGAGCTGAAAGATTGCCTAGGTTTACAAATTCTGTTATATACCTGTAGGATTAAATCACAGTTATTCAGAATTGAAGCAGAGTTTATAATACTTACCTGGACCTGAAATCCAGAAATCCTGGGGTTTTTGTTTTGGGTTTTTTTTTTTTAAGGAGTAAGTTAAAATCAAAGACTTGCATTCATATTTTCCTGTTTCAATTAAGTTTTCCCTAAGAAATTCAGCCTTAACTGCAAATTTAAAATGAAGCCTAAAAGACCTCCTTTTGTTTTTAAAATCCTTTTTTAAATTGATTGTTAGTGGTATCTTCTGTACTGTGGAATAGTCCACCAATCCTGCTATGTGCTACATTAGTGTAAAATATTCTAGTGTAAAAATCTGAAGCACAATTCAGCTACAATTAATTACATATGAACTAATATAAGCCAAACAAACTATTACAGGTTAAAAAATATTGTTATTTTACTTAAAAAAATATATACTTACGCAAAGCAAATTACAACAAAATCAAGCCAGTTCCAGGGGTCACGAAGGCACGTAAAATCATTTATACAGAAGCCTCTTGCAAAGACTTTTACTAGAAATTCAAAAGTATAAATTCCAGTGAAAGTGTACCTATGAAAAAACATTCAAGCAAAAGTAAAAGACTGTTGTGTTGTTCAGTGATACATCATGAGCATACAGGAAAATAACTCAAACCCAGTAATTAGTACGTGCACTGAACAGCAGTTATAAACTCTCATAAAGTATGACTGTTTTTCCACCATTCTTTTGTGAGACAGTAGGATTATACTTTTTAATTTTGTTTGAAAAAATATTTTTGTAGTTTCTAGCATATAAGATTTTTTAATTTCATCACTAATGATGATAATCATGAATAACAAAAAAAATTTGTTCAAATAACACTTGAGCATGGTTGCCACATCAAAAATAAAGTCCATGGGTAAGTAAAATCTATGTACTGAAGGTACTTGATGGTTGACCAGGCAGACCTATGAATGACAAACAAGAATCCTCAGCAGATGTACTTTCTTTAAAGAGTGGGTGTGTCCCATAATTAGATTTTGCTGCACAAAATGAAGGTGTTTCAGAGGTGCTATAGAAAGCATCTCCCACACTGAAAACTAATAGTTTTGGGTGCAATGACCAATTTCTTTCATTTCTTCTTTTAATTATAAAGAACAGGAAGTATTTATGAAAACATTGCTTGTATGAACATTCTGAGGAAATGTATTTTGTTCAGAGACAAAGTTTGACAATTTCACAGCTTCTTTCCTTTGCAGAGCTTGCAGGACTCTGCTGCTTTGGGTTGCAGCTACAATCAAACTCCAAGCAGGAAAAAGGAGAATATTGGTATTACAGAAGTAAGTAAAACTGCATGGTGTAGCTCTTAATTTTCTTTTCATTATTAAAACATTTTAACTATTATTAGCCTATTTGAGTATACTTACTCTACATTCTTCGCCCATTCTGGAAGATTACTCCATGTCATCAACACACAATTTGCCAAAATAGTGAGCATAATGACCTTGTTGAACAATGTTGACCATAGTTAAGGAACGTATCCCTTTTAAAAGCCGAATAACACAAAATACAAGGAACTGACCAGGACACAGAACACTGACAACATGTACAATACAAATCAGTTTACTATCACTAGCAATGTCATAAGTAATGCAAAGACATTTCACAAGAATGATGGTTATACACCTATCACAAAATCATTTAGGTTTGAAAAGACTGCTGAGGTCACCAAATCCAACTTTTGACTCTTCACTTGTCAACTAGACCATGGCACCACATGCCATATCCAGCCATTTCCCGTACACCTCCTGAATACTGACACTACCACTTCCCTGGGAAGTCCATTCCAGTGCTTGACAAACTTTTTTTGTGAAGAAATTCCTCCTGATGTCCAACCCGAACTTCTCCTGGTACAGCTTGAGGCCATTTCCTCTTGTCCAGTCACTGGTTACCTGGGAGAAGAGCCTGCCCCCCACCTGGTTACACCCTCCTTCCCTCAGCTGCTCCTCACAGGACTCGCTCTCCACACCCTTCACCAGCTTCACTGCCCCTCTCTGGACCTGCTCCAGCGCCTCAATGTCCTTTCTGAACTGAGGGGCCCAGAACTGGACACAGCACTCGAGGTGTGGCCTCACCAGTGCTGAGTACAGGGGGACAGCCATTGTCCTGGCCTTGTTGGCCACGCTATTCCTGATACAGGCCAGGATGCCATTGGATTTCTTGGCCACCTGGGCACACACTGGTTCTTGTTCAGCTGCTGTCTACCATCACCCCCAAGCCCTTTCCCCCTGGCCACTTTCCAGCACTCTGCCCCCAGCCTGTAGCACTGCATGGGGCTGTTGTGGCCAGTTTGTAGGACCCAGCAGTTGGTCATGTTGAACCTCATGCCCCTGGTCTGGCCCATCGATCCAGCCTGGCCACGTGCCTCTGCGGGGCCTTCCTACCCTCCAAGGGTACACTCACTCCCTTCATCCAGATGATCCATATGGATTTTAGACAGGGTTGGGTTCAATACTGCACCTTAGGGAACTCTGACTTTTCTTCTGAAATTCATCAGCAGGTTAAGTGACTAATCTTAGCTCCGATTGATTTTGAAAGAATTAAAGGCAGGAATGCTTCAAACACTAAATAAAAAATCCTAGTGTTAACATTAGTAATATTAATCAGTAACAATTTTAACAAACCACTTGAAAAGGATATGAATGAACCAAAATCTTAATAGCTAGTCTTCTAGTGAAATTGAAAGGAGATAAAAGGTACAAGGCAGGTGTGGCACTGAACCTGTGGATTGTCTTCGCTTTATCCAGTACTATAAAAGTCTTTAAAACAGAGACAAAATTGGGGTAGTGGGGTTAGGAAATTAAGGATACATTTTAGCAACCTTGCCATAATACAGGCTGCTTACACACATATCTAAATAGCCAAATTTATTTTCAGTAGGACTGCAGAAGGAAATAACAGATTCTAAATTTTCATATGAGCAACAACAATGCTACACCATGCATTCTTTGTCTCTGTGCTCTTAAAATCTGCATTTCTGATTTTCTACAATTAAGTTATTACATTAAAACTATAATTAAAATGTGACTTTTTACATTTAAATTTAATGCAGCTCTTTTACTTGCATTTCAGAACAAAGTCGGCAATGCAAAACAAAGCACCTAAGTAACCACTTTTGGGACCTTACAAGGAACTATTTAACCATTTCAGCATGTTAAAACTGCTTTTGGGGTGAGACATCCTTGGCTTTTAAAATCCTTGGCTTTACTGCCTTTATTGTTTGTGCAGCTGTCACTAGTACCATCAACATAACCATTTTTGATTTTAAATAGGAGACACGATGAAAATATAATAGAATGAAATTTTAATTAAATCTACATTTAATGGTTATTCTCCCAAAATCTAATATCTGCAAATAAGCAGGCTATAACACTTAATATTTCTGTTTTCTAATGACATTTTACTATAAAATAAATAGATAATTTGTCAATAATGTTTGAGAAGTCAACAGAACAAAAACTAAAATAACCAAAAAATCTGCATCTGATTATTAGTATTCAACATTTTATACTAGAAAAAACACTAATTAGATTGCTTATTACAGATATAATAGAGCTCTTTGATAAAATTCTTATCTTGCAAGATACTATTTTGTTGATTATTCAGTACTTAATTTCAAAAACCTGTTCTCTGGTTTTAATTCAACAGACATTTTATTGATTTCACAATAAAATAACCACTTGCTGCTTATTTTGTACTGCCTTTTTAATGTAAACTCAGTTTTGTTTTCTTTCTTGACATCATTTCACTTCACATGCATATATAAAAATAACTTTCCTTCATGTATACTTGCCAAAGTAAACACTTTGCTCTTTTCTTCCTTTTTTATCAGTATTTCTATAAATGTTTTTATCAGTATTTCTATAAATGATGTTTTCTTTCTTGACATCATTTCACTTCACATGCATATATAAAAATAACTTTCCTTCATGTGTACTTGCCAAAGTAAACACCTTGCTCTTTTCTTCTTTTTTTATCAGTATTTCTATAAATGAAACTGAATCAGTATATATAAATTTAGATTTTGTCTTCAGGTCTATATCGGGCTATAACATAGACCCTAATATTGAAACACAAAGATTGGTTTACACTTTTTTTCTTTTTTTTTAAATTTTGTAAACCTAACATTTTTATGATATTTTCAGGAATGTTTGACAGTGATTGTTCTCTCATATGACTGAGCAAGCATTTTATCTAAGAACGTCTGTAATGAACTAGATCTCAGGTATCATGTCTCTTACAAAACCCAGAGAGCAGCCAGACATGGAAAGCTTTCAAATGGTTCAGCATTAAATCAGATCTGAAGAGATTACAGGACATTTCATACAAAATCCATTCATTAAAATACCATAACATGAGACATTAAAAGAAAAATGCTTTTTTTCCCTTTTTTTTTCTTTTTAAGGCAACTTTAGCAAAAGTTACAGTTGCAACTGTAACTTCATAGTGAAATCAAAATAACTAACATGATAGTACCTACTGCATAATACTTTCAACCAGTGCTTCTGACCAACTCCCCAGCAGAGCATTTATCAGGCTATAGTAAAAGAGGAGTGCTCTAATTACATTCTTAACACAAACCACTCACTTTTTTATTGATGTAATATGGGTCCAGGTCCTCCAGGGGTTCAGACACCATTCCTGGAGGAATATCACCATAAATAAATGGCAGTGTCTTTCCTGCCTCTAAGTCATTATTTGGCTCTGGGTGATTTGCTTCATGACCAGTATCATCTGTAGGCTCATCTTGGTCAGAATTAAATTTTTCATCAGCAATACGTTTTTCAATAGCTGCAAGAGATTCTTCAGTGAAATAGAAGAAGCTGTCAGGTCCTGGTGGTACCAGCATTGCCTGCGCCATCTTTTCATTCTGCAAATTTTAAATGCTTTTAGGCTCTTGTGTAAGATCCTAGGAGGACATGCAGGAAAAAAAAAAGAAGAAACAGAAGGTCATACCACCAACAAAATCCCCAAATATCAGCTTTTGGCATAGTCACACTCTGCCTCTTTTCTCTTTATAAAGCCCTGTAGCAAGAAATATTTCAGTTAACAGCCAGACACTTTATAGAAAATTAGCTACTCATGGCAAAGAGAAGTTAAGAAGCAAAGAAAAAATAATGAAAGAAAAAAGAGAACAAATTTTCTCAGTTTGTCGCCTCAGATTAATACCTCACAACAAAAAAGAAAAAACATTCTAACTTTCCCTAGCCTAATACTAAGTTACTTTATTGTGAAAAAGTAAAAAGTGTTTCAGCATAGCTAAATATTACAGTCAATGATCACAACCTCTACCATACAGATCTATATATTTTTGGCACATCACCTTAAAACACCTTGCATTGATATTATAAAAGCAGAAAGAAAAAACATGCTATTTTTATTACTCTAAATTTCTTATGGCAACATTGCTCCATCTGGTGGCTTATACTATGACTGCCAAACTAATGTTTATGTGATCCCATTAGGTACTACACAAACACATGGTATATATAAAGCCATATTTACAGGCAGAAAGCAACTGGCCTGAAGTCTAGTCTTTCCCTTTTAGGCTTTCTGGTTCATATCTACCTGATTTCCAGCTGTAACTTTGATGGCACTATCTCTGTAATTAAAAAAGTTATGATGGATGAAGTGTTTTAGATTTATACAAAAAGCACAGCATAAGTCTTTGGCAAATACCACAATAGACACAAAAAGGTGGGGGGCTCTTTACACTGACGACTGACTACTAAAGAGGTGAGAAATTTCCTAATAAATAATTGTAGAAATTGGACATTTTTCATGTCACCTGCTAAGCACTTTAAGAAAACACAGACAGTCTTTTTGTCTGGAAAAGAAAGCCTGAGAATGTCACGTCTTTCCTTATTTATATAAAAATGGCTAATCTCAGCTGTTCATCTTAAAGCGATTATTCACCATTTTCAAATGCAAGATCTGATTTTTGTCTAGCCTTTTGGGGCAAATAGTTCTAAAATCCTTAGGACCAGTGAACCTGAAGTTCTGACCAGTCATACTTGGACTGACAACCAACTGTGTCTCAAAAGGAACTTTTCCTTCAGAAGCTGAATGACACATGTGCCTCTAAATACCCAGAAAACCTTCACCATCAAAAAGGGAGAAAGATCTGTCTTCTAAGGAACAACACCAGGATTTCTTTCCTTTAACTTCATTTTTACTTAAGAGCTAAGGTAACACAAATATTACATGGTACCTTTAGGTAATTTATTTAGCTTACAATTCTGGGTTTTGTTTTTTTTTTGTTTTTTTTTTTTTTATAAAATGGAGAGGCAGATATTATCTGCTTCTTCATTTGTAAGCTGAAAAATAAAAAAAATAATTTCCTTAGTGCAAGCAGTTGAGTCTATACATATTCAAGGAAAGTTCTTATTTGTAGGGGTTTTCTCCTACACCAAGGTGGTAGCAGTATTAAATAGTTATGTTTTCCTAAAAAAAAATCTGTAACATATGTAACATATAGGAACGACTTTTTATACACCTACTACTTTTTATATACCTACTACATGTATTGTAACAGATTCTGAGGACAGCACTTGTAATAAAATTTTTGTGAATGATGCAAAAAGTTAATGCCAATTTAAATAGTCCACATCCACTTAGTTATTATCTAAAATAGTTAGATGGTTGCACAAAGTCTTTTAGAGTCTGAACAGACAAAAAAGTAAGATCTACAGCTATCAGACCAACTTCTATCTTATAACCAAATAAAACAGGAGCTGTATATACTGTGCTGCCCTGAAACGGGAGTGTTGCTCTTTACAGGCTAAATAAAATACAAGCTTTTCAGCACAGCTACACATCATGACCAGTCTACCATGCCTATAAACAAGTAGGAGTACACTTGGCAGTCTAAGAAATATTTAGGAAACCTTGTGTTTCAATTATTGTCTTCGGAAACAAGCATGGGAACAACAAAAACTAATCAAACAAAACCAAATAAACAAAAAAAAAAGGGAGATACTGGATGAAAATGCAAATATATACCATAATATTCGGCTAGTCTTTTAGAATATGCTCTCACTAGTTAATAAAGACTCAACAAAACTTTAAAAATAGGTTTTTAGTCAAAGTTAGGCATATAGACTTGCAAAGTGAAGAATGTGATGCCCACAGAAACTACTCAAATCAAACATGTACTTGAAAATGTCACTGTCATGTCTGTCCATGCATTTTGTCTAAATTTAAAGGTCTATAATGCGTAAAACTAAAAGTTCATGACTGTTCATTTTACCAAATGCCACTACAGCCTTATGGCAGTTTTTCTGAGTTACTGCAGTTGTGATCAGAACGAAAACCAATCTTTCTGCTTGTTCACATTACCCTGGTTTATTCAGCAAGGCTGAAGTGGTACCTGTAGGGCTGAGATGAACTCCGGCATTTCTCTCTAGAGACACCACAGCCAGCATCTGCAGCACAATTTTCAGTGTTAAAACAAAAAAAAGTTATTTTCCACTACATGACAAATATCTTCTATGAATGCCTTATTCCAGCAGCCTAATCACAGCCCATGCAGGGAAAAAAAAACCCCACATCTATTAAATACTTCTTGAGTTTCAGTTCAGTGACTGTTTCCTTTTCATGACTGTTTTAAAGTACTGCAAATACGTGTTGTAACACGGTGGAAGAAAGTGATGCTGCTTATACTGTTATCTCATGAAAATCACTTTATCCTTGAAAGAAATTGAATTTAAAAAGAAAAACAAAAAAAAGATAAAGCAGGATAGGTTGGTTTAATTACTTAAATGTGTCTCTTTCCTCCAATTTTGACAGCATTTGTATTATGAACTAAGATAACAATCAAACTAGAAAACCATATTTAATGTGAATCCTGAAGAAACTGTCACCCTTCCATCCAAAAAATCCCACAAAGGTCCTTTTGAAAGCCCAACATTAAAAAATCACCATCAGTAAAAACAAAACCCAGCACATAAATCCCCATTTTCTCAGCTTACTGTTAATAAATAGGCCTCTGATCTTTCATGGCTACGTTGTGCATGTAAACCTGATTGGAGACCCTATCCATCAAGCAGGACAGAAAATTCAAATTAGAAATGAAAAAATACAGAAAACTGCTACAAACCAGACTCTGTAGTAGCACAACACTAGGAGGAAACTCCTGGGCATGAGCGAGCCAGTTAACAACCTGATACTAATGGTAACATAAATATACTCTTATGGAGTATGGTTGAATGAGCAAGAATAATTTTTTGAAAAATATTTTTAATACGTATACAAAGAAAAACATCAGGGTCATTTATATTAAGTTAGGGGTTTTAAGTTTGAGTCCACCTGGCTGTCAAAAAAAATCATGAATAGATAGTGTTTATTGTTTCCATATATATATATATATATATATATATATATATCAATAAATAAAAAACTTTTGTTTCTATATTACTTTTAATATTTGCAAAAATAATGGTCAAGCTTAAAACCAAACCAGTCAGCAACAAAGCCTTAGTACTTACAAAATGTGTTTCCTTAACATAGTATTTTTATCTTAACATTTTTCAAAAGTAGGAATAAAACATCTGCTCTTCCTACTACATATTCTACAATATAATGATGAATGTTTCCAATGTTCTCTCTGCTATGGTACATTTCATAATGTTACTTGAGTAACTTGAATAAAGCTTTTAGTGTACTAAAGAAGCCATACTACTGAAATTACTACACCTCAAAAAACATCAAAGCCTCACATGTATGAAATTGCATTAAAAATAAGACAGGTAGATGTTCAGTGAATTTCACTTAGACAAGTGATCAAATCTGATGAGTCATGAATCAAATGTACAGATTTTTTTCTTTTTTTGCTAGGCTCTTTTTTGCGCATTTCTGAATATATAAACAAAAAGGTGCTTTTTTCCCCATGGGTATTTAATTCCACTACATAAATTAAGACTTACTTTATTAACTAATATATATTGTTATTGAGCAGTGATGCAGCCTTCATTTTCTACAGAAGATAAAACAGGTTTATTACTGCTATTTCAATGTCATAATTCTGTGACTGTTTGCAAAACAAGCAGGAGGCTATAAGACAAACCCAGAAAATTCTTAGGACAGTAGTTTAATCTAGAAAGCATCTGGTCCTAAACATCAGTAAGAACTAAAAGGTTTCTGAATTATTTATTGCTTTGAGACTGAATAGATTAGACCTACGCTATATTTCACCCCTGATACTTCTCAACAAAAGATTGTGCTAATGCAATAGCACTAAGTGGGACAGCTGAATTTTTAAAGAAAATATTTTACCATGCCATTTTTTTGTCTGTAAGTAATTTCATTTTCTATAGCTTGTCCATGAAAATAATTTTAAAATCCAAAATAAATGCTTATGGAAAAAATGCATTTCTTTTCATTTTAATGGATTCTACTCCTTATATGAAAATTGCCTTACATGACCTGTATTACCTCCAAAGGTATTCTAAATGAAGTATTTTCAATTCAATAGCCTCTGATTTCAATTTGTGAACTTATAGTAATACAGAGAAGACATACAAAAATATTGTAGGGATGAAAAATGCTTAAAATACAGAGGATGCTACAGCTCATCTTAAAAAAGAAGAATTCTCTAATATAAGCTCATTTTTAGAATCTGCAACCACTTAGAGGCAGATCAGTTTGCCTTTCCTTTATGTCAGAAAATTGGGTGCATATCTAGGAAACTCAGTCCTCACAAACAATCAATTCAATCCCCATGTATCAAGCAGCCACCTTGGAGCAGAGGCAATACAGCGAATAAAAAACTGTGAGAGATTTTACTATTGGCAAGGCACGGAAGAACTGTGAAAAACACAGTACATTGCCACAAATGTGATGTGCACATACGATGATATTTCTGTTATCTGCATGACTACTTGGACATTTTTCCAGGCCAGAGGAACACTG